CATGTTTTTAGTATGCTTCTTCAAGTTTGTGTATCTCAAAATTTTGGTTGTCAACCGCATACAGATTTTGGTGCCAAGCCATGACCATTTGTTTCTCTGTCTGTAGTGAAAAGCTTTCTCCCTTTATAAGAGAATAAAAGCAGAAGGAACAAGTCAACAGTGAGACTGATGTCCCCTGCCGAAATCCCAAAATAAATAGATGACACATATTAATTAATAGCACATTTATATTTTTCAAAAGTATCAAGCAATCAAACTGATTATCAACTATACACTAAATTTCATCACTCTCTACCATATATAATCAAAGTTATCTTGTCCCAAAGCATCGACCGATGAAATTGCTTAGCTCTGCTTAGCTTTAGCTGGAAATGTAAATCATTGAACTCAGTCAAGACATTCACCCAATGAACATCTACATCAAGTTTAAACATTCTACCTCAATTAAAAGCAGAGTTGTTATGTTCCGAAGTCTTGACCAATCAAATTGCTTATCGCTCATCATCGAACTTAGTCAAGATAACGATATAATCAATGTATACTCAGCGTTTCATCACTCTCAATTAATTAAAACTAAAGTTATCGTGCCCCAAGGCATCAACCAATCAGATAGAACTCCATCAAGGCATTCACCTAATGAATGCCTACACCAAGTTTGAACATTCTAGATCAATTAGAAGGAGAGCTATTGTGTTCCAAAGTCTCGGCCAATCAAATTGCTTATCGCTCTGCTTACCCTGAGCAGAAAATGCTCATTATCGAACTTAGTCAAGGTATTGAAGTTTCATCACTCTCAATTAATCAGAACTAAAGTTATCGTGTCCCAAAGCATCAACCAATCAAATTGCTTATCTCTGCTTACCCTAAGCAGAAAATGCTCATCTTCAAACTCCATCGAGGCATTGACCTAATAAACACATACCAAGTTTGAACATTGTAGCTCACTTTAGATAGATGGGTTACTGTGTCCCGAAAAGTGTGACGGACAGACACATTTTAAGAGTCATTCCATGAGAAAACCATGCAAAATCGGGCAGCATCAGGAAGATGGGGGGGGGGGCGGAAGATCGAGTTCATCTCCGGGGGATTTTATGGACTCCCCCTGACTACTTCACAGCCAGAAGGGCCGATTTGAAAATTTCACCATTATTGAGGAACAGCCTCTGGGTAATTTTTGGCCAATTTTGCCATTTTTCATGTCATATTTCGTCAATTTTTAGCCACCTATTGTGGCGAGTCTAGGGTTTGGATGAAAATGGTGGTGATTGATGATGTTAGTGCGGGTCTTCCTGTGCCCCAGTGTGAAGACCATAAAGTCGCATCTATTCTCTGGGAGCAATGATCAGCAAAATTGTAAGGTATGGTGAATAAAACTGAAAATATACACCTGTGAAGATTAGCCCTATTTTCTATGATGCGGGGGTAGGTAAACATATCGAAATGGTTTTATGCACAGCTCGATTCCCTCTATCGATATAAGAAATAAAATCTCTGTGACCTCTCTTCAATCAATGTGAAATCATAAGTCAAAGTTTGTGAATTTTCCCTATTGTAAATCTCTCATTCTCTATGAAATGGCCAACTACTTTCATTCAGGGTAAGCCAGCTCTCTACGTTTCTTCACCAAATCATTCACCCGCGCTCACTGGTAGCAGCTTGAAACCCCCTCGAGCAAAACTAGTCTCTTTGATGAGGCTTGGTATCCAATCCAAGATGGCCGTGCCCGAAAGCGCACGTTTGGCCATTAAATGTGGTACATATCCCAGATATGACCAAAAGAATCACTTCATGCAATTGAAATAATGTACTAAGGACATTAAGGCCCACCTTAGCACATCACATAGCAATAAGTGATGTGAGAACCGAATGGGAGCTGATTTCTTGACGAAGCTGCATTAAACGTAATATTCCAAAAGAATGCATGCTGCCACATCTAAGGAGAAGCCATACAAAGACCGCGCTGTGTCACTTGGAATCAACTTATTCCTATTGGAACGGCTATGATTGTGAAATAAACTACTATTGAAAAAAAAAAAGGGAAGAAATTGTGTCTTTGAAATATCGATGGAAACCTTGTGTGTGTGCTCGACCACAATCAAATTAGCAGAAAACAGCTGTGCAGTGATACTCCAGTTGACTGAGTTAAACGATGGGCTTCAGAAGTCCTCAAACCAGCTGAAGTGAGTCTGAAATAGTTGTAACACCTTTACTAAAGGCCAGCTCTCTGCTCCTTTTTTTTTTTTTTTTTTTTAACTTTGGCAGCATTAAAAAATTCTTGTTCATTTTAGAATTTTTTTCTTCTATTCTAATTCTATGTATATGCCGGAAATATTATGCTGCCCATAATGAGGAAATAAAAAATATGGCATAGGGTCAAAAATTCAACTTCATTAAGGCTGTGCAAAAATATCGATATAATCGATAATCGGTAGAAGTTATTTAGCGATACAATAATCGATATTGAAATTCAAATATCGATTATCGGTATATTTACCTTCTGACGGCAAGTTACGGTCACTTTCACATGACTGAACTTGCCGTAGTCTGGCATGCAGACGAATGAACGAATACACAACGTCAACACAACAACTATTTTCCCCCTCTGCTTACAAACTGGCACATTTTAAATATATATTATTGTAAAAAAACTAAACTTTAAGATTAAATACATTATTTTAATATTTTCGTTGTTTTTGTTGTTATTACTAGTTGAAACTAAAATAGGTCACGCACTTTGTGAACAATGACGATCGCACGTGATATAGTAAAATTAGAATTATCTCCCTTCTTTGCTCTTGATTGATTTGTAGAGAAATTGTCTGCTTTCACGATAAAACTAATTGTATTATTAATGATCAACTAAGCTTTTATTACTAAATCATGTCAGATACAGCCCATACCAAACACGTTTTTGGCTTCCCGGAAAAATATCTATATCTCTCGTAATTTCTTGGAAGAATTCTACTTTGGTTTTCGTCAAAATTAGCCAATCATAAAAATTCTACTTTGAAAGCCGGTAATTATTTTTTTATTGTCCAATCAATAGACGCCTTCTATTATATTTTATTCTATTATTAGTAACACTGTGTGATCGCCAGTAACTTGCAAAGAGAAACCATGTATTGTCTTTGTATTTATCGGAGATATTGGAATAAAAAAAAAGGTTCAAATGAATCAAGAACAAAACTTAGAATAATACTCAAGTTAATCCTACATTTAGCAACTAATTATTTTACATTAATTGATTTTTTTACGTACATCGGCACATTATTAGACTAGGAATAATAACACTACTGTAACTCGATCAACACAAATAAGAGGTCGGTAAAGTTTGGTTTTTCCGGAAGAATGATAATCGATTATTATCAATAATCGCTGACAAATTCTTGCCGATAATCGATATTGAAATTTCATATCAATTCCCAGCCTTATTCATCATATGATCATTTTCGAAGCCCAAAATGGATCTTGCTGGGCATTTTAAAACTGAATTTGTACATGAAGGACAAAACTTAGAATAATACTCAAGTTAATCCTACATTTAGCAACTAATTATTTTACATTAATTGATTTTTTTACGTACATCGGCACATTATTAGACTAGGAATAATAACACTACTGTAACTCGATCAACACAAATAAGAGGTCGGTAAAGTTTGGTTTTTCCGGAAGAATGATAATCGATTATTATCAATAATCGCTGACAAATTCTTGCCGATAATCGATATTGAAATTTCATATCAATTCCCAGCCTTATTCATCATATGATCATTTTCGAAGCCCAAAATGGATCTTGCTGGGCATTTTAAAACTGAATTTGTACATGAAGGACATGTACAAATGTTGCCCCCTGCAAATAGTACATTAGAAATAAGTTTAGTAAATTATTTTATATGGTTTGATTCTTTCAGGTTACTGTTGGAACTGGTGACATCTCTGCCACTGCTACATCATCTGCAGCTACTGGTAGTGCTGCTTACAGCCATCATCAATCAATGAAGAAAAAACACAATTTTCTGCGGTCTCGGGCGCAGTCATCATGGATTGGATACCAATCATCATCGAAGAGACTAGTTTTGCTCGAGCGGGTTTCAAGCTGCTACCTGCGAGGGCTGGCGAATGATTTGGTGAAGAAACAGAGAAAGCTGGCATACCCTGAATGAAAGTAGTTGGTCATTTCATAGAGAATAAGAGATTACAATAGGGAAAATTCACCAACTTTGACTTATTATTTCGCATTGATTGAAGAGAGGTGACAGAGATTTTATTTTTTATATCGATAGAGTGTGTCGAGCTGTGCTTAAAACCATTTCGATATTTTGATCTACCCCCGCATCATAGAAATTACAGCTAATTTTCGCAGGTGTATATTTTCAGTTTTAGTCGCCATATGTTACAATTTTGCTGATCATTACTCCCAGAGAATAGATGCGACTTTATGGTCTTCACACTGGGGTACAGGAAGACCCCCACTAACATCACCAATCACCTCCATTTCCATCCAAACCCTAGGCCCGTTACACTAGGTGGCTGAAAATTGACCAAAAATGACCTGAAAAATGGCAAAATTGGCCAAAAATCACCCAGAGGCTGTTTCTCAATAACGGTGAGATTTTGAGATTGGCCCTCCTGGCTGTGAAGTAGTCTTGAGAAGTCCATAAAATCCCCCCCCCCCCCCCCCCAGGATAAACTTGATCTGCCGACCCCCACCTTCCCACCTTCTGCATGGTTTTCTTGTGGAATGACTCTTAATAGTCCCCTGCTTTCTTCGAAAGGAGGGGGAAAAAAATAATAGAAAAATAATTCTTGAACTATTGGGATATCAATGGTCTTGATTGTGGTATTGCAAAAAAAGTTCCCACCCCCCGGACAAATCCTAATAAAATTAGAAATTTAGGAGGGTTGACAGGTCTCCCTCAAACACATTTTGACGATTAATGATGAATCTATGCAAAGCCATTAATATGAAAGTTTGTTTAAAAGCTAGAAAAATAACTTACTGTTCGTCTGTTTCTGTACCCTGAGTCGTCTGCTCCTGGTGCTGCTGCTATCATAGTAGATAGATCTCCTCCATCCAATAAAGAATTCTGCAATTCAAAGTAACAGGATAAAGTTTCATGGCCTAAAACTGAGAGAGAGAGAGAGAGAGAGAGAGAAAGAGTTTAACATCCACTCAACACATACTAGGTCATTTCCCGATGAACATATCGTTCAATTTTATTTCAATAATTCGCTTGTGCGTAGGGGTCTTTAGCAGTCGGAGGAAACTGGAGGACCTGGAGAAAACCAGCGAGGTTGGACAGGCGACCCTTATCACATACAACCGGGGAATCGAAGCATTCAGCCATCCAACCCCCCTTGTCCTAATATTTTGTCCCAAAGTTTTGTTTGTGGCAATAAATCAAACTGAAATTAAATAGACATTCTTGCCACACTAATTGAACTTACATATACCATATTTAAACATAGCGATGGGCTTGTCAGAGCCGCTAACAAGCCCACCAGACGTAAAGTCATCCCTGCTACATAATGTAACTCTAAAATCAATGTCTTCAAACTCTGTCTTGTGTGTTCTTCATAAGCTTTCAAGTTAACTCCACAAACAAGGCAATACATGTAACTTCATGATTTACAATCAACACATTCTTGAAATTAATAGGGTACCATTATATCCCAATGTATAATCCTAGCAAGTCAAAAACAGTGATCTATAGAGTATTCACAAGAAATTGTAGACAGTCTGTCTGTGGGCATAAAAAAAGATCAGATGATAAAATGTAGTCTATAGAATGTTGAAAGGTGTGATACAAAGCATAAAATGACTAAGTAACATCAACTTACCTCTGCAGCTCCAACACGAGATGCATCCTTAGCATCTTTATCATTACTAAAGGTTCTCCATTCTGATCCCACATCTACTACTCTACAACATTAATTTAAATAATTCTTTCTTTATGAATTACAGAAAGTACAAAAGGTTCTCCAAACTTTCATATATATGCAACACTAAACTATTCGGTACATATTTTCAACATTAAAATCGCAAGAAAGTACATAGTCTTTCAATAAGAAAATTGATCATCCTTTCAGAGATTAGCAAAATTGAGAGTAGAACAAATGACATGAATTGAGTTGAGTCGACTTTTTATTTAAAGAGAGCAAGCCGTATACAATTACATAGTTCGAAGTCAGCCCGTTTACTTATTTTGGGTTTATTTCAAACTCAAAAACCGCAAACTTGGTAAAAATATAAAGATAGGTTGCCAGGCAACGAAACATACGCCCACAGCAGCTAAATCAATAGGATTCTTCGTAACATATAACCTCAAACACTGTGTATAAATTTAAAGTCAATCAGATATTAACTTTAGCCTCTAGAGCATCCACAAGATTTTTCAAAGTGATCAAAGGCCATAACTCTGGATGTAATTATCGTAAATTGCCCGAAAAGCAATAGGCTTTTTCGTCTCATGACTTTAAGCACTGTGTATAAATTTAAAGTCAATCGGATATTAACTTTGTCCTCTAGAGCGTCCACAAGATTTTTTAAGTGATCAAGGGCCATACATGTAACTCTGGCAGTAATTATCGAAAATCGCTGAAAATGAATAGACTTCATCGTCTCATGACCTTAAACACTGTCCTTCACAATAATTATTCGAAATCAATGAAAATCAATAGGCTTCTCTATCTCATGACCTTAAACACTGTGTATAGATTTAAAGTCAATCGGATGATAACTTTAATCTCTAGAGCGTCACAAGATTTTTCAAAGTGATCAAGGGACATAACTTTGGCAGTAATTATCAGAAATCGTTGAAAATGAATAGGATTTTTTTGTCTCATAACCTCAAACACTGTGTATAAATTTAAAATCAATTGGATATTAACTGTAGCCTCTAGAGCTTGTGGACGCCGGGACCGACGGACGGACAGGGCGACCACAATATACAACCACATTTCAATGTGGACGTATAAAAAGTGGGTGTGGTATCACACCCCTGGCGGTCAGGACATGTACCAAAATCAATAGTTGCTGTTCTTAGACTAAAGGATATAAAGTATACTAAGTTCCAAGATAATCCATTCAGAATTGTGTCCTTCGGGCACTAAACACATAAATTGGGCATGGTCTACCCCCTGGGGTCGGGACATGCACCAAAATTAATAGTTGCCGCCCTCAGGCTATAAGTAATACGCCAAGTTCCAAGCTGATACATTCAGAATTGCGGCCTGTATACGATCAACACAACCAGCGACTGCTAGGCAGGATACGCCCACATTTTCGAGAGATGGATAGTATAGAGAACAAGCTAACAAGAAAGTGATTTTTCCTACTATCAAGGGCCATAAATCAGGAAATTACAATTCAATATGCGCGAATATCGAAAGGAACAGAGATCTTTGTGTTATAAACTTACATTTCAAGTTTCAACAAATTCAGATAAAAACTGTGACCTCTATAGGGTCCACAACCTTATTTTTTACGCTGTTTGAGAACGAATGGCGTCTATTTTGTCTGTCAATTTTGGGTTGATTTTCACGAAATTCGAATTCAGTCGTCCTTAGGGTGTAACAGTGAAATAATAATACAGTTTTTTAAATTGGTTAAAAATTATGACCTCTATTGGGTCCACAAGCTAAAAACGCGATTTTTCGTACAATCAGGGGCCATAATTCAGGAAGTTACGGTCCGATATGCGCGAATATCTAAAGGAACCGAGATCTTTGGGTTATAAACTTACATTTCAAGTTTCAACAAAATCGGATAAAAATTGTGACCTCTATAGGGTCCACAACCTTGATATACCATATTTTTACGCTATTTGAGAAGGAAGGGCGGCCATTTTGTCTGTCAGTTTTGGGCCGATTTTCACGAAATTTGAATTCAGTCGTCCTTGGGGTGCAACAGTGATATAATAATACGATTTTTTAAATCGGATAAAAATTGTCACCTCTATAGGGTTCACAAACTTAAAACGCGATTTTTCGTAAAATAAGGGGCCATAATTCAGGAAGTTACGGTCCGATATGCGCAAATATCGCAAGGAACCGAGATCTTTGTGTTATAAACATACATTTCAAGTTTCAACAAAATCGGATAAAAATTTGTGACCTCTATAGGGTCCACAACCTTGATATACCATATTTTTTACGCTATTTGAGAACGAAGGGCGGCCATTTTGACGGTCAGTTTTGGGCCGATTTTCACGAAATTCGAACTCAGTCGTCCTTGGGGTGCAACGGTGATAAAATAATACGATTTTTTAAATCGGATAAAAATTATGACCTCTATAGGGTCCACAAGCTAAAAACGTGATCTTTTGTAAAATCAGGGGCCATAATTCAAGAAGTTACAATCCGATATGCGCGAATATCGAAAGGAACCGAGATCTTTGGGTTATAAACTTACATTTCAAGTTTCAACAAAATCGGATAAAAATTGTGACCTCTATAGGGTCCACAAGCTAAAAACGTGATTTTTCGTATAAACAGGGGCCATAATCCATGAAGTTTCGATCCGATACATGCCAATATCAAAAGAAGCCAAGATCTTTTGGGGATAAACCTATATTTCAAGTTTCGTCAAAATTGGACAAGAATTGTGACCTGAAGAGAGTCCACAAACAAATTGTGGACGGATAGGGGCGACGACAATATATGTCCACATGAAAATGTGGCGTATAAAAAGGGAACCTCTATAGGGTCCACAACCATGATATACCGTATTTTTACACTATTTGAGAACGAAGGACAGCCATTTTGTCTGTCAGTTTTGGGTCGATTTTCACGAAATTCGAACTCAGACGTCCTTAGGGTGAAACAGTGATATAATAATACGTTTTTTTAAATCGGATAAAAATTATGACCTCTATAGGGTCCACAAGCTAAAAACGCAATTTTTTGTACAATCAGGGGCCATAATTCAGGAAGTTACGGTCCGATATGCACGAATATCGAAAGGAACCAAGATCTTTGGGTTATAAACTTACATTTCAAGTTTCAACAAAATCGGATAAAAATTGTGACCTCTATAGGGTCCACAACCTTGATATACCGTACCATATTTTTACGCTATTTGAGAACGAACGGCGGCCATTTTGTCTGTCAATTTTAGACCGATTTTCACAAAATTCGAAGTCAGTCGCTCTTAGTGTGTAACGGTGATATAATAATGCGTTTTTTTAAATCGAATAAAAATTATGACCTCTATAGGGTCCACAAGCTAAAAACGCAATTTTCCGTACAATCAGGGGCCATAATTCAGGAAGTTACGGTCTGATATGCGCGAATATCGAAAGGAACCGAGATCTTTGGGTTATAAACTTACATTTCAAGTTTCAACAAAATCGAATAAAAAGTGTGACCTCTATAGGGTCCACAACCTTGATATACCATATTTTACGGTCCAATATGTGCGAATATAGTAAGGAACCAAGATCTATAGTGTCCACAAGCTAAAAACGTGATTTTTCGTACCAACAGGGGCCATAATCCATGAAGTTTCGATCTGATACATGCCAATATCGAAAGCAGCCGAGATCTTTTGGAGATAAACCTATATTTCAAGTTTCGTCAAAATCGGATAAGAATTGTGACCTGTAGAGTGTCCACAAACAATTGTGGACGGACGGACGGACAGGGGCATAATACATCCACTCGAAAATGTGGGCGTATAAAAATTGTGACCTCTATAGTGTCCACAACCTTGATATACCATATTTTTACGCTATTTGAGAACGAAGGTCGGCCATTTTGTCTGTCTGTTTTGTTCCGATTTTTACGAAATTTGAAGTCAGCCATCCTTAGGGTGTAACGGTGATATTTTAAAACGTTTTTTTAAATCGGATAAAAGTTATGACCTCTATAGGGTCCACAAGCCAAAAAACGCGATTTTTCATACAATCAGGGTTCATAATTCATGAAGTTACGGTCCGAAATGCGCGAATGTCGAAAGGAACTGAAATCTTTGTGTTATAAACTTATATTTCAAGTTTCAACAAAATCGGATAAAAATTGTGACCTCTATAGGGTCCACAACCTTGATATACCATATTTTTACGCTATTTGAGAAGGAAGGGCGGCCATTTTGTCTGTCAGTTTTGGGCCGATTTTCACGAAATTCTAACTCAGCGTCCTTAGGGTGCAACGGTGATATTCTAAAACGTTTTTTTTAAATCGGATAAAAGTTATGACCTCTATAGGGTCCACAAGCCAAAAAACGTGATTTTTCGTACAATCAGGGGCCATAATTCAGGAAGTTAAGGTCTGATATGCGCGAATATCAGGGGCGACAGCATAATACATCCACACAAAAATGTGGGCGTATAAAAATTGTGACCTCTATAGTGTCCACAACCTTGATATATACCATATTTTTACGCTATTTGAGAACGAAGGTCGGCCATTTTGTCTGTCTGTTTTGTTCCGATTTTTACGAAATTTGAAGTCAGCCGTCCTTAGGGTGTAACAGTGATATTCTAAAACGTTTTTTTAAATCGGATAAAAGTTATGACCTCTAAAGGGTCCACAAGCCAAAAAACGCGATTTTTAATACAATCAGGGTTCATAATTCATGAAGTTATGGTCCGATATGCGCGAATATCGAAAGGAACTGAAATCTTTGTGTTATAAACTTATATTTCAAGTTTCAACAAAATCGGATAAAAATTGTGACCTCTATAGGGTCCACAACCTTGATATACCATATTTTTACGCTATTTGAGAAGGAAGGGCGGCCATTTTGTCTGTCAGTTTTGGGCCGATTTTCACGAAATTCTAACTCAGCGTCCTTAGGGTGCAACGGTGATATTCTAAAACGTTTTTTTTAAATCGGATAAAAGTTATGACCTCTATAGGGTCCACAAGCCAAAAAATGTGATTTTTCTTACTATCAGGGGCCATAATTCAGGAAGTTAAGGTCTGATATGCGCGAATATTGAAAGGAACTGAAATCTTTGGGTTATAAACTTACATTTCATGTTTTATCAAAATAGGATTAAAATTGTGACCTCTATAGGGTCCACAACCTTGATATACCATATTTTTACGCTATTTGAGAACGAACGGTGGCCATTTTGTCTGTCAATTTTGGTCCGATTTTCATGAAATTCGAACTCATTCGTCCTTAGGGTGTAACGGTGATATAATAATACGTTTTTTTAAATCCGAAAAACAATATGACTTCTATAGGGTCCACAAGCTAAAACCGCGATTTTCCGTACAATCAGGGGCCATAATTCAGGAAGTTACGGTCCGATATGCACGAATATCGAAAGGATCTGAGATCTTTGGGTTATAAATTTACATTTAAAGTATCAACAAGATCGGATAAAAATTGTGACCTCTATAGGGTCCACAAGCTAAAAACGTGATTTTTCGTACAATCAGGGGCCATAATCCATGAATTTTCGATCCGATACATGCCAATATCGAAAGCAGCCAAGATCTTTTGGGGATAAACCTATATTTCAAGTTTCATCAAAATCGGATAAGAATTGTGACCTGTATAGAGTCCACAGACAGGGGCGACGGCATAATACGTCTACATGAAAATGTGGGCGTATAAAAATTGGGCATGGCTCTGCCCCTATGGGACAGGACATGCACCAAAATCAATAGTTCTCTTCCTTAGGCTATTATACCAAGTTCCAAAATAATCCATTAAGAATTGTGGCCTGTATGCAACACACGGACACACAAAGAAAACATGGGTGTGGCTCTGTCCCTGGGGGTCAGGCATTCACCCAATAGGGATCATCCTTAGGGTATATGGAATAGGTGTGCAAAGTTTCAAATGGATCTGTTAAGAATTGCGGCCTGTAGACGAAACACGAGACACACAAAAATTGGGCATGGCTCTGTTCCAGGGGGTCGGGCATGCACCAAAAGAGAGAGAGAGAAATGGGGTTTAACGTCCACTCGACACAAACTAGGTCATTTCGGGACTAACATATGGTTTAATTTAATTTCAATAATTCGCTTGCGCGTAGGGGTCTTTAGCAGTGGGAGGAAACCGGAGGACCCGGAGAAAACCCACGAGATTGGCCAGTCGACTCAATGACAGGACTTTATGATACAGCGCGCGCACGCTAACCATTCAGTCATCCAACCACCCGCATGCACCAAAAATAATAGAGGTCATCCTTAGGGCATAAGGAATATTTAAGTATGGACAATTTTCAAGACAATCGATTTAGAATTGCAACATGTAGGCAACACAAAGAGAAAATGGGCGTGTCTCTGCCCCTGGGCGTTGAGCATGCACCAAAAACAATAGGGGTGATCCTTAGGGTATTAGTTACGGAATAAATATCCAAACTTTCAAGATGATCCGTTAAGAAATGCATCCTATATGACAAACAATCAAATACAAAAAATGGGCATGGCTCTGCCCCTGGGGGTCGGGCATGCACCAAAAAGAATAGGGATCATCCTTTGGGTATAAGGAATACATGTAAGTATACAAAGTTTCAAGACAATCCATTAAGAATTACACCCTGTAGGCGACCCACAGACACACAAACATACGTCCACATTATGTGGATCTATAAAACATGTTACACAGTTTTTAAATTCTCTTTGTTTGATACTGTAGTCAGTATATATACCCAAAGAGAAATTTATCCATGGCACACACATGAGAAATACATTAAATATGGTTCAAGACTCTTGAAGTATACACAGACGCTTGCCACTACATTTAACATGCTCCGAACCGAAGACGTGTTCTTTAGATAGATACGAGGCAATTAAATGAAATGGGGTTTTTATGTTTAATTTATTCAAATGAATATACATGTATAATAACAGACAGCTTTGTGGATGACATTCACTAGGTTTATTAACTGCAACGTTTCAGCGAGGTTACTCTCACCGTTATCAAGCAATGATACAATCAATATACATGTACCTGTCACCAACTACTAAGCCACATTCAGGACATATCATATCACCTGCATGGTGATCTTCCACTAACGGTGTATCTGGATGTTCTGGACAACTTACTAACGCTGAGGCGCTGAAATATAAAACAATAGACATATACGGATTACGTAACATAACACGATCTTCATTCGCAAACTTATTCCATTTTCTTGGGAACATCAATTCCACAAGCCTTGCTGATTTCAGCATCAATTTCAGAGGCAAATAAAGTCTGGTAAAGAAATAAATAACAATCAATTCCCCAACTGTGACACAACACATTGAAACCAGATCCATAAAAGAAGTATGAGTAGCAACAACGATTTTAATACATGTACCGGTACCTAACTGTGTTTATTCAAACTGTATTCTAACTACATGTACATGTTGATATTGGACTGGATTGGTTTTAAAATCAAATAAAAATTTTGACCCTAGTGGATCCACAAGTTAGATATGTGTTTTTTAAATCAGAACAATCACGACAATCAGTGGCCATAATTCAATTTTGAAAGGAACCGACATCTTTGGGATATAAACATGTTTTAAATTCCATCAAAATGGGATAACCAGCAGCTGCCAGGCAGAATACGCCCACATTTTCGAGAGATGGATAGAGAACAAGCTAAAAAGAAAGTGATTTTTCCTACAATCAAGGGCCATAATTCAGGAAATTACAATTTGATATGCGCAAATATCAAAAGGAACCAAGATCTTTGTGTTATAAACTTACATTTCAAGTTTCAACAATTGTGACCTCCATAGGGTCCACAACCTTGATATACCATATTTTTACACTATTTGAGAACGAGGGATGGCCATTTTGTGTTATAAACTTACATTTCAAGTTTCAACAAAATTGGATAAAAATTGTGACCTCTATAGGGTCCACAACCTTGATATACCATATTTTTACGCTATTTGAGAACGAAGGGCGGCCATTTCACTAAATTCAAACTCAGTCGCCCTTGGGGTGTAACGGTGATATAATAATACGTTTTTTTAAATCAGATAAAAATTATGACCTCTATAGGGTCCACAAGCTAAAAACGTGATTTTTCGTACAATCAGGGGCCATAATGCAGGAAGTTACGTTCCGATATGCACGAATATCAAAAGGAACCGAGATCTTTGGGTTAGAAGCATACATTTCCAGTTTAAACCAAATTGGATAAAAATTGTGACCTCTACAGTGTTCACAAGCTAAAAACGTGATTTTTCGTACAATCAGGGGCCATAATCCATGAAGTTACAGTCCGATACATGCCAATATCGAAAGGAACCGAGATCTTAGGGTGATAATCGTATATTTCAAGTTTCGTTCAAATCGGATAAAAATTGTGACCTGTAGACTGTTCACAAACAATTGTGGACGGACGAACAGCGGCGACGACAATATACCCCCACATGAAAATGTGGGAGTATAAAAATTGTGACCTCTGGACTTTCCACAAGCCATAAAGGTGATTTTTTGTACAAATCATGAGCCATAATCCAGTAAGTTACATATCAGGCGCCAATATCGAAAGGAACCAAGATCTTTGAGTATTTTATAGGGACTATTCCGATTTGAACCAGATCGATAAAAGAAGTATGAGTAGCAACAACGATTATAATACATATGTACTGGTATCTAACTGTGTTTATTCAAACTGTATTCTCACTACATGTTGATATTGGATTGGATTGGTTTTAAAATCAAATAAAAATTTTGACCCTAGTGGCACCAATATCGAAAGGAACCAAGATCTTGAGTATTTTAAAGGGACTATCCCGATTTGAACAGAATCTCAAAAATAAAAGCCTGAGTACGTATGAAAATATAGAGGGATGGTGTATTTACCTTGTCACAAAATTTCAGCTCAAATTATTGAGTCGTTTCGACGTGGACTTTTTAAGATTTCGGGTCAATTTTTTTCGTTGAATGACCTGATAATCGATTCCAATCCTTTAGAGGTCTATACAATGAATGACCCATGTGCTGTGCTTGTTAATGAAGGGTAAATTTCACCTACACATTATTTTTATACACGTAAAACAAGCGGTTGCCATGCAAGATACGCCCACATTTTGCAAGAGATGGACAGAGAACAAGCTCAAAAAAAGAAGTGATTTTTTCGTACAGTCAAGGGCCATAATTCAGGAAGTTATGATCCAATATGTGCGAATATCGAAAGGAACCAAGATCTTTGGGTTATAAATATGTATTTCAGGTTTCATCAAAATAGGATTAAAATTGTGACCTCTATAGGGTCCACAACCTTGATATACCATATTTTTACGCCATTTGAGAACGAACGGCGGCCATTTTGTCTGTCAATTTTGGGCCGATTTTCACGAAATTCGAACAAAGTCGTCCTTAGGGTGTAACGGTGATACAATAATATGTTTTTTTAAATCGGATCAAAATTATGATCTCTATCGGGTCCACAAGCTAAAAAGGCAATTTTTCATACAATCAGGGACCATAATTCAGGAAGTTACAGTCCGATATGCGCGAATATCGAAAGGAACCAAGATCTTTGGGTTATAAACTTACATTTCAAGTTTCAACAAAATCGGATAAAAATTGTGACCTCTATAGGGTCCACAACCTTGATATACCATATTTTTACACTATTTGAGAACAAACGGCGATCATTTTGACTGTCAATTTTGGGCCGATTTTCACGAAATTCGAACTCAGTCATCCTTGGGGTGTAACGGTGATATAATAATACAGGTTTTTGAATCGGATAAAAATTATGACTTCTACAGGGTACACAAGATAAAAACGCGATTTTTCGTACAAACAGGGGCCATAATTCAGGAAGTTCGAAAGGAACTGAGATCTTTGGGTTATAAACTTACATTTCAAGTTTCAACAAAATCCAATAAAAATTGTGACCTCTATTGGGTCCACAAGCTAAAAATGTGATTTTTCGTACAAACAGGGGCAATAATGAATGAAGTTTCGATCCGATACATGCCAATATCGAAAGCAGCCGAGATTTTTTTGGGGATAAAGCTATATTTCAAGTTTCGTCAAAATCAGACAAGAATTGTGACCTGTAGAGAGTCCACATGAAAATGTGGGCGTATAATAAAAGTCTGGTTTTATCTAGACACCGCATAATACAGCTTGGGACACCTGTCTCCATTTCCAGATGAAGACTGACGAGTTTAAGTTGTTTGAAAATGTATCACATATCTTGAGTTAGTTGTTCGGCCCTAACGTAGAGGATTTTATTCTCCAAAATCTTATCGGGATTGCCCCTTTAAGTCTCATCAAAATCGGATAACATATGGACAAAGAACAAGCTAAAATCGTGATTTTTCGCACTATCATCAGGGGCCATAATCCAGGAAATTACGATCCGAAATGCACTAATATCAATCAAAAGGAACCAAGATCTTTGGGATGAATGTAAACTTATGGTATATTTCAATCAAGTTTTTAAAACTGGATGTCCTGACATGGGCGACAACATGAATTTCAAAGGACGCAGTATTAATACGAAAATATTGAATAAGCTTATTCAGTTGTAATAATAGAACAATCACATTCCTTGTCAAGAGTGACATAAAACTAAGTTCAGTCATTAATAGTTCTGGTCCCGCCAAATGAGTTACACTTATAGTCACAGTGTGACATAATAAAACACAACAAACATGTTTCATTAGTCTGGGTTGGTTGAGGTATTTTCTTTTTCAGTGGCCACAGACAGTGCAGCACAAAATTCTCCTTTCTGCAAATTAAAGGAGCTAAGTCTCTATTAACAAACTCAATATTTTCCATAATAATATTAATAACACGGAAGACCCATCAGTACAGTGGGCCAACGTCTCACCAGAGAGAACATCCATTGCCGTAGACCTTACCGTGGACCGATCCTCACCCCTCGCCATCGACTTTAACGTCTACAGTTCGCCCAACAACACCAGAACTCGTGACACAGGCAATGGAGAACTGTTCTCTTCACAGATGATAGTCGTTATTGTGTACCAACTGACGATGGTCGGACCAGAATATGGTGTCGACGTGGCCAGCATTATTCTGACCAATGTGTCATGGAACGAGGCTCATGGGGAGGTCCAAGCATAATGGTTTGGGTGGAATCGGCCTGAACCAGAGTGTTGGTCCTGTTGTGTCCCAATATCTTGGTCCAGGGAGGAGGCAGCTTCACAGCAGTGTGCTACATCGATCAAGCTCTCAGACTCCACGCCATACCACATTTCGCGCACGTCATCAAAACGTTTTCCAGCATGACAACGCCCATGCCCACACCGTCAGATTTATACGGGACTTTCAACAGCAGAACAGTGTTAACGTTATACACTGGCCAACCCTTAGTCCCGACTTAAAGGACGATATTGTTGCCAGTCATTATCACATACATGTATGTGATAGAACTGGTTAAACACGTTCCAAATATTATTTTATCACAGAGATCATTGCTACGATAGATGCTAAAACAATGCTTGAACAATCGGGAGTGACGAACGCAAAAGGAAAACACGAGTTATCCCTCCATATAACTGACTGAAGTGACGAGTGATAACAGATATATGGGCGAATTTCTGCTCACTAATCCTTCCTGCCTATGCTTAGGTAGATCCCCGGCCCATTCTTCACCCCTTAAGAATGCCCCCTTTAGCTCCATCAGAGATGAGTTAATTCAACGTCCGCGTTCAACATTAATTTTTTCGATAAACATTTCACTATTACTATTAGTCCACAGGTTAGTACAGGTTTTATATAGATCGGGTCTCAGAGAAGGGAGCTGATTTAGTTGATGACCAAAAGCTCCTGTCATCCATTCTGTTTCACCTAAATAGTCCGTAGGATTTTTCATACTCATGATATTCCTACATGTAGATCTTCCAGACATAGTAATATTTTCATAAAGGACTCCAATGAATTGCTCTCGTACAGTGTTGTCGACCTACTCACTAATGTGCCAAGAGAAGAAGTCTTGATTTCAGAGTTCTTGAAACGCGTATTCGACAACTTTCTACACCACTGATACCATTATTCCTTTGATCAAGCAATGCCTGGAATCCAACATATTTCACATGGGGAAAAAAACAGAATATGGTGTCGACGTGACCAGC